TGAAAACAAATACTTGAATCAAATCAGCAACGGCAGAAATGGTGAACCAGGTGTTTGCTGAGCTGTTTCCCTTTTGATTGCTTTTGATTTTGTTATAGGGGAGACAACCACAATAATTTGTTGTTGTTTTTTTTTTGTTATTGTTTTTTGTCGATTATGGCAAGTGGGAGTTTGGTAAAAACACTTAAAACAGTGACAGGAGTTTGTTAACAGTGACGTTACCAAAAATGGGCATGTAGAGACTCTGGGGTGACCCTAAGGTTTGAGAGCAATGGTGCAGAGCAGGCAGGACACAAAGATATTATTTATTTGCAGATTAATTAATTATTTTTTTTAATTATAATTTTAACATTTAAATTTAATCCCCAGCTGCGCTGCTTAAGGTACATTTTTATGTTATATAATTAATTATAATAAGACTCACGTGAAATAATTTCGAGCATATTTTAATCATTTAATGAATGTAATCTAAAGAAAATGTTTATTTTAATTCATTTTTTAAATGATTAAACACATAAAACCAGACTTCTGGCAATGTGCACACCTGTTAAATAACCAAGTGTTTAATGTTCCATTATCGCCAAGTCTATAGATCAGGGGTTCCTAACCTGTGGTCCACAGACCACCTAGAGGCCCATGAAAATGTGCCAGATGGTCCGTGATATGCCTTCCCTTAGTTATTTTATAATATGCATTTATTGTTTAAAAAACGAAACCATGGCCTTCATCTGATTAGCAGAGGGGCCCATGGAACAAAACCACACAAAACACCTGCTGGTTGATAGCCCGGGTTGATAACCAGGCCTAGACATGTTTATCAAATTAATGGATCCTTATTTTGTTCACCTTGAAAGTGAAAACTGCAGCAAAGCACTTTGAACACTAAATAAAAACTCATTAAATATTAGTCACACACGTTAACTGACAACACGTTAACTGACAACATGTTATTGTATGTAAAACAAAACACATTATTGTATGTATAGGTACAGTTATCTTTATTGACATCATGAACAATCAATTCCAGTCCAACAGAACAAAATCAAATCTTGGTCACACCATACTTTCATGTGAATCCATATGAAATATATAGACAATAAAAACAAATCAAACCAAAAAATGACTGGGTTTTTTTTTTTTTGTGTACTCATATGATAACAGGATAAAACAGAATTATGGAATCAGCAGAAAAGCTATTTCAATCCTTAGCCAAAGTCTCTCCCTAAAACGAACTATGTACAAGAGAATATACATTTAATCAAAGAAAAAAAATCTTTACTTGGTGTAAGTTTTAAAAGTATGTTTCACTCCACATTCAATAAAGCAAGTTACATTGGTTTGTGTAAGCTCGGAAACAGTATGTTTCACACCACATTCAATAAGGCAGGTTAAATTGGTTTGTGTAAGCTTGGAAACAGTATGTTTCACTCCACACTCAATAAGGCATGTTACATTGGTTTGTGTAAGCTTGGAAACAGTATGTTTCACACCACATTCAATAAGGCAAGTACTGGGTGAGCAGAATCATGCAATTATAGAAAATCATTTTAAAAAGTATATATGTTAGTACACATATATTTGCATTTGTCCCATAATAAATGTATGTAAGCTTATAATACTAGCCTAAGACTTACAACCAAATAGTTGTGAGCACCAAACTGGGCACTTACTGTTATAAAAAGCAGTCATTGAATTCAGTTGGGGGGACAAGACAACATTTCAAAATGCCCCATATTTCTTATCTTTGTATTTAATCAAATCTAGTTCATTCTGCTTAACGCTCTCATTTTAGATATGTATATGGTACTTTGTGCTTTATCTTTCTGTTTCTAATACTTTTTGGGATACATTTAGACCACAAAATAAGCTATCCCATGAAGTTTTAAATCTCATTTTGCATCATCAAAAGGCCCCTGAAATGGACTTTTTCCCAGTACATTATGTACTGACCGCCATTATTTCCCATAGGTAAATAGAATGACCTGTAATGATGTAATAATTAGGTTTCATCTTGCAGTAAGTAAGCACTGTAAAAAAATTAATTACTAGTGGTTATGATGAAGCCTGTGAGAGGAATGCTGTTTAAAGTACCCTGCACGCACCCACTACACACACAGAACATTAACAAGTTGATATTGCTTTAATAAATGTAAATATTCAACCAGTTTTATCAATGTGTAAAATAGATTCCTTTCATAAGTCTGTAATGATTATTTTTATTAAGTTTGTGGTTTCTGAATGAACTGTCAGAAAACTCTTTAACATTTGTGTTTGATAAGCCATGGGGGTTATGGCATTATCAATAGAAGCAGAGAAAGTAATAATTAAGTTATTGTTACATGGGGTATCACTGTCATAAAATCTTTCTAGCACAAACTATTATTTCAAAAACAGATTAAAATATGTGTTAACAATTTTCCCATAGTAATAACACATGTGACTATCAAATTTGATTTAATACACTTAAATCCAGTACAGAACGGCAGATACAGGTTTAAAAAAATAAAGATTTAATAGGAAGACCAATAGTATTGGTAATGCTGGTTCATTGTATATATCTCTGAAAATAAACTGCTTTGCTTTATCAAGCTGGACATAATTAAATTAATCATTTACACACATAAAGCAACATGAAGGCGCTTGTCCTATAATATCTCTAAATGCACTTAGTCCTTGTTTAAATGTTAATATTAAGGCACATATTAATACTTTATCTAAATGGACTTAGTATTTGTTCAAAATGCAGTTATCAATTAATTTTAATGTTATAACAGTCACATGACAAATTTAAATAAAGGCTTTCAGCGTCTTTCAGACAACATAAAATTGTTAACAACGTTTACATAGATTGTTTTGTTCAAAAAAAAACAACAAAGTGTTGGCTTTTAGCTTACTTGGTGGGCCCACGTTCTGATATGGGTAAGAAATATTAAGCAGTTTTGACAATCAGGTTTTGATTTGCTTAGTTGTTTTCAATCATTCTCTTGGTTACTTAAGTTAAACTCTTCTTTCAGAATGTAATAATGGTGCTTAGAGTTTGATATTATAAATTTATTATTTCAATTTTTTCAACAAATAATGGAGTGCTTTATTATTAGAAGCCGGCTAAACTTGAATTAGACTTTCCTTTTATTTATTTTTTCAGTACAGTGAATCCTCTTTTTAAGCAAGATGAGCCCTCTAATGCAACATATTAAGTTTGCATTTAAAAGTTTGCTGAGACCCAAGCAAGCCAGCAGCCTTGACCTGTGTTTTCAGAAGAGACAAAACATCACGTAAAATGTGGAAGACATTTTGATTCAGTTTAATCCATTTTTTAATGGATATCAGGATAAAATATGCAAAATAGACAACATTTCTGGATAAAGGAAAAACTTGTATCTACAACATTTACATTTATAAAAGTTGACTTATGAATTGTTCAAATAAAAAAAAATAAAAATCTTCAAAATGGGAAAAAAATTTTTAAAAAATAATTTAAATAATGATGAGAAATTATGAAATGTGGGGGAAGGGGACGGCTCTTTGTGGGGAAACAAGAGGCTAAAGTAGACAGACAAAAATAACCTAAATCTCTGAAATGTTCTACATTACAAGAAGTTTGTGCTATAACTTACTTTTACACAAAAGTGCTAATGAACAACAAAGCAATAAGTGAAAATGGTACACACAAAATATTACTGTTGCAACACTGTGGCTTTGAACTTGAAATATTGTATTTGATTTTTCAAAAAAAAAGTAGCTAATGCCCATTCAGTCAAAGTAGAGAGATAAATATAATTTGTGCCATAAATAATAGCTTCCTTTAATAAGTTATATATACCCTTTTAATGCGTATAGAAAAGTTTCCTTTGTAGAAAACTTTAGGTCAAAAGGTTAAATGCATAAAAATTACATTAAATACTTTTTAATAACATCAATAATAATATTTTAAAAACTATACATAGCACTTCTTCAATAAGTATTTTTTTTTTACTTCCCTTCAACTGAATGCATTAAAAATATGACTAGAACTAATTACTCAATATTCTTTGATTGCTCTGCATTATTCCTTACACTTGTGTGCACTGAAATCGACTGGGTCAGTGCTAATAGGTTTTTGTGTGCCACTAAAGGCAATCTCTACCAACATTGTTTTACTACATGTGTGAAAATTAGCACATTCACAGTTTTATCACATCTTATTGACATAAATAAAAATAAACTTAAACTTATAATCATAATTATGGATATAAAGATTTATTATCTCTGCGCTTAAGTCATTTTTTTAATTCTCAAACTGTAAACTTTTACAGGTGTTTTTTTTTCCAAAGAAAATGTTATTTATTTTGTTAAAACTTATAACATAAACATAAAAGCAGTTTTTTACCCAATTAGGTAATTTTATACAACTTAGTGTTTGCAAATCACTGCTAAAAATGTGTGCATATATTTTTGTGCTGGATGAAAACAAATTAATTTACAAAATTTATGCTGTGGGTTTAAAAATTGAAACCAATCAAAATCTGCCAAATTTTACATTAAATCTTACTTTTTTTAAACATAATCTCAGATTAAAAAGATGAGCAACTATTATATTTGCTATGGGTTGTTCAATCATTACATCAACCCTCATGAATACAAATTAATCTTTAAGATTTTAACTTATTTCCTTGAGGTTGTAGTCAAGCACAATTATAAAATAGAAACAAACAGCCTCCTAGGGAAAGCAAGTAATGCTGAATTTGTTAAGGAATGATTATGGAGCTGACAGATTGTTCCATCACCTGCTTGGACTGTTAAAATAGAGAAACAGAAAAAAACAAAATTGTAACACTCAGTTCGTTTTGGGTTTTTTAAACTAGTATCAGTTCTGAGCCCTAACCAAAAAAAAAAGATGTTCTTATTACAATTTAACTAAGTTCTTTTCTGCAAAAAAAATGAAACTGATCAACAGAAAAACTTTTCCCCAAATTTTCAAATTAGTTGTCTTCATAATCTGTCTCTTAACGGTTAATTCTCTAAGCCTCTGTGTCCACGTAACGTCCCATTTCTCCTTCTAAACTCTTCTTGATTACTGGCTTGTTCTTGTATGTATTCCACAGCTTCAGAATAATGTCCCCTAGCAGGATATCACTTGTATTCCTGGCAATCAGTCGCAGAATAAACACCCCATCGTCCCGAAGGTACTGGTCAGCGAACCTGCGCACAAGCTTCTTGTCTTCCTCGCCATGGATCTGGTCCAGCACTTTCATGTATTTCTTGATGTAGGAAGCTCGGTTGGAGCGGAACAGAGCCCTCCATATCCAAAACAGGAAGTTGCCACAAGTGCAGACGGCCACGAAAACAAACCAGAACCAGAGGAAGATGAATATCTTCTCATTAAACAAGTTGACAGGAAGGACGCACTGGACTGTATACGTCTGGATATTTTGGAGCTGACGGATCTCAAAGTCACAAAGCGTGATCTTGGGGAACCTCGGGGAGTCTCGCCAGTAGTGGTCAGTGGCTAGTCCCTCAAGGACCTCAAAGCCGTAGAGGTTGTACCAGCCGCCAAGGAATGCATTGAGGAGAAAGAACTGTGTGATTACATTCACAACAAAGAGAATCTTGACAAAGATGTACAGCCCGGTCAGAAAGGTGCCGTCCCGCTTAGCACAGAAGAAACAGAAAAATCTTGAAGCCTTTTGCCGCATCCTGACCATGATGTTAAAACGGTACTGCCTGTGGGCTTCTAACCAGCGGTCCATGTAGATGGCTATATGGCTGACCGTTTCGTCCCTCTTGTCCTGGGCCCCAATCTGGGTGGTGGCAGTCAATGTGACTATCTTGTCCATGTTGATACCTGATGCCCCATTGAACATTCTCCACACCAATGCCGGAAATTTGAAGAGGAATGCCATGAACAACAAGATGATGGGGACCCATTGGTAGTAGGTAATCTCTTCACTGCTTCTCTCGTCCTTGGCCACTGGTATTGGTGTGTCCAGCGGGATGTAGTAGGTGTTCTTCACCCAACAGTAGGACTTTGTGTACGCGATGAATGCCCCCGTGAAATGGGCTGGACACCAGCACTCGATGGCATTCCCCACATACTGACCGCCGCTGATAAAGACGGCAAAGATGGCCAGGAGGATGACAGTGTACAGGTGGTTGAGTCGATCTACCCAGTCATCGTCATTGCTGGAGGTAAGTTTGGAGTAGGATGCCCAACCACCCAAAATGGCTGACACACTGAAACAGATCAAAGGAGATTGAAATCAGATTGCATCTCTCATAATGTTAGACAAGAATCATCCAGTGTGTTATGAGATGATTGCAAGAAAAAAATCTGGAGTGACTTCTGTCCATATCTTATTTTTTAACATGAAAAAGATTTACACAGCCTTGGGAAAAGTCATATCTTTTACCTGAATACTCATATTGTAAAAGATCATAGTTCAGTTGTTTTTAGTATATATATTTGTTTTTACAATAATAGGACCCTTTAACACATGACATTATAGACATTCATGAAATCTTTATGAGAGCTTTATCTGGCCATTACAAATGACAATGCTAAAGGTTTCCACATATGTAGCTTGTTGTGGCTTTTTATGTGTGTTATTTATGTTTTTATGTTTTTTTTTCGTTTGTGTCTTTTTTTGGTGTGGGTGTTTGGTGGGTTTCTTACAGAAAAAAGCCAGAACTCTCTCGAACATTTAACTACAGTTTGCGGTCAATCATATTTCTCGACACAAAAAAGATGCCGGAACCCATTGCATTTGGTTCTGCTAAAAATCGTGCATACATGGTAATATAAAACGTAATAGAAAGTCAGTGGCGGAGCATTAGGGTGATCATGGAGTGGTTGCGCCCCCACCCCCGGGACAAAAAATGTAAAAAAAAAAATTTTAAAAATCTTGCACAAATATCCCTGTGCTTGAACAAAGACAACAAACTTCCATATCTTTGAATCAATGAAAATATATTCGAAACACTTAAGTTGCCTTAATGTCCTCAGACGAGTCGTAACCGGACAGTTCATTACGCCGAATGATAACGGGTGAATTGGAAAGAGAGACAATAGAGACGACGTGGTCACTTAGCTTCACAACTAAAAACCACCAAAAAAACCCACTAAACTTTGAACGTTAAATTAAGAGATTGAAACAAATGTTGTTTAATAACATGCTAATCTGAATACTATCCTCAAAACAAATAATAACATTTGAAATGCAAACCCAACGCTGATTGTCAGTGTGCAATTGTTTACTATATATAATTCAGGCGGTACGGACTCCTCAGAGAAATACCAAAATTGTACCAATGATATAAAATACAAGGAAGTATATAAAAACTTTAAGAGTGCTTTAAACTTTAAACAACCCCTTCATAACAAAGTTTTTCGTATAAATCCTTTATATGCATTTTTGTTTGCATTTATCTAAGTGTACGTCATTTATCGTTTATTTCCTTCATTTTCCCATTCAAAAATACATTTTATGTTTACTGCCTACCCAAATACGTCATAAATGCAAAACGCATAGCAGCAGCTTCACAGCTAATCACCACACCAAAACTCGCAACCATTTAATAAATTATATTTAATTGATATTCCCCTTGGAAAACAGGAAAAACTTATTTTGGGGGGTTTAGCGGTGGGGCTGAAAACCTGAAAGAATGTGTTGTAATCCGCAACGAGTCTACGTGCCAAGTTTCAGGCGATGCGATGGCGGGAAGTGGGTCAATCCGCCGATTAGCCTTAAACACAGAAACACACGAACAAAAGCGAAGTTAATGTTAAGGACTTAACAATCAAAGAAGCTGTGACCATTTAGCCATGAAGTAAGTAATTTGTCTCGGTGGATCGTCGGCTATTGGTTGGTAAGTTGAAGCAAAACGTAGGGATTATGTGGCCTGGAACATTTGAAGGAAGAGGCAGATGATGTCGCCACGGCCACGACGTAAGAGAACTGCAAGGTAGTTTTGAATGGTGTAGATAGTAAGACTGCAGCATCGAACTTAAGATGAAACGGAAATGACTGAATTCTAAGTCCAAGAGATTGATTTATTTTTTTTAAACAACCCTTTTTTGTGTCTATTATGACTGTCTTTGCTTTTAAATTGACCCATTGATAAGAATATTAAATTATTGATTTTTTTTTTTTTAATTTTTAGAAATGATTAAATCGGGCCAAAAAGTAGTCCAGACTTTATAAATTTGATCGTTATTTGTACGGTCCAGACTCTGGATTCTGCAATTATAATCGCCGGCATAAAAGGGCTGAAGTGACTCTACAGCTAACTATGTGTACAAATTAATTGAAAAGGGAAGAGGGGGTGTGCGAGCATTGCAAATGAAATGCGTAAAGGATTCATGGGGAAATTGCTTACGTTTTCTTATGGCAGACTTTCAATATGAAACTCGTATCGAACTGAGTGATTGGGTTAGTGGCAAAAGTCAATTACCTCAGTTATTATCTATATCGAGAAACCAAACATATAGGATCTCAGCTGTAGGCCCTTATTCCTCTCCTCTACCCCTACAACCCTTCCTTCCCCTCCACACTCTCCCTCTCTCTCCCTCTCTCTCACCTTGTCTCTTCTACTTTTTCCTTCATATCTTGTGTTATGGTATGCCAATGATACTGGAAATCAATCCGACACCCCTCCCCACCAAAAAAAAACAAAAAAAACTGGTTAAACAACAGCCAGCCCCCCCCCCCCCAAATCCCAAAACCACTTTGGCATTCCCGTGTTTTACCTGTGCGAGCGCTTGACCTACCTGTGCTGTGAATGGTGGTATGTTAGTCATCTGTTGGCCAAATGCTTCTAGCAATTGGTTCAGCAATAAATCGATTTGGGGGCGGGGAGAGGGGGGGGGGTGGCATTAAAATAATTCCAGTTATGTTTTGAAAATTTTACGTTTCTGCTTGTCCGTTTTAATGCTTACATTTATATACAAACAAAAAACAAAATTAATTTTCAAACAATTTTTTTCCAACAATTAATTTTAAAAAGAGTCTACGTCACACGGCGGTCGCCATTTTCTCCGACTTCGAAATTGCCATTGTTAAATACAATTCTTCAACTTGACCAAAACAATTGTCAAAAAAAGTGTCAAGTTCTACTCGTGCTATCTCCAATTTAATGTGTCAATAGGACGCGGCTATCATGTTGACAGCCCATGAGATCAAAGTCTTTCGATCGCCAATAAATTATCTGATATACGAGATACGTGGGGCCTTTCTGACCATGTGACGGTATCGACAGAGGCGTATTCAAAAGATGGGCTGGTTGTTAAAATAATGTGTAAAAACTTGCAAATTTTCCAAGAACATGTTAAGTTATGAAGAGATGAACGCGTCTTCTTTGGAGATCTTCTGGCAGCACAAACCTTTCTTATAGTGGCGCACATATGTGCGGGATTGCACAGTCACAAAACTCAAGGATTAGATCACGCACTTGGCACTTGGTGCTTTTTTTACTAAATTTTTTGTTCTTTCTTATTAAATTTGAATTGCACTTGATCAGGATGAATTGTTTTATTAAAACCGAAATGAGGTTAAATTAATCCGTCTTAAAACAAAAAGGGGTTAAATTAACCTGACTTTAACCAAAGGGAGGTTAAATTAAGGAGGTTAAATAAACCTGACTTTAATCAAAATGAGGTTAAATTAACCTGTCATTAACCAAAAAGGGGTTGCATTAACCTGTCTTTAACCAAAATGGAGTTACATTAACCTGACTTTAACCAAAATGAGGTTAAATTAACATGACTTTAACTAAAAGGGTTAACCAGAATTCAAAGGACAAGCATACAAATTCCAGAGCATGTGGTTTTTGCTGTTGATGTTTAGAGGCACGCCCCTGGTGCCGGGTCCCATGTTTGGACTTATCGCACTATGTGACTGACTATAGGCGGTGATAGAGAAAGAAGCTTTCAACCTAGGCGAAAGTCCTTACAGGAGACATAGCTCAACCTATTTTTTTAACATTTGGGTCGAGGGTTATCGGGGGAAAATAGATAAATAAGATGTGTTTAGAGTTGGTTGTGACGCACTTACAGTGTGGTGGTCATTTTGTCGATAATACAGCGATAGGCCCACGCGTTAAAGTTAACAATATTTTCTTACATCCACTTCAACTTCGAGATATTAGTTTTTACATTAAAAAAACCAAACAATTCAGTGTAAGAAACCGCCAGTAGGTAGTTTAGTTTTTCGTGTTTTGTTTTTTGTTGTTTTTTTTTTGTTTGTTTTGTTTTTGTTGTTGTTTTCTTTTGGTTTTTTTTAATGGGGAGGGGGGGGGATTTGAAGCTTACAGGTATAACGAGAGTGGGGACCCGTCATTTTGAGCACATCTACTGATATAGTTGTTAATAAAATTGTAATTCATTTTTTTAATGGGGAGGGGAGGGGGCGCTGTAATATGGCAATGTCAACATGCATCACAATTTAAAATTCTCAAAAATATGCCAGGGAGAGCATTTCACCTTTTGCCTTGTTAGCTACTCCGTGGGTTGAGGGATTTGACCCCAGTCGCTTTAGAATGTAATTTTTGATATATATATATATATATTTTGTCCATTTCAATTCTTCAGAACTAAAAGTGGAGCAGAGTTGTGCTATCATTAGCCATGTGTTTGTGTTCCTTACTGAGTTCGGCCATGCCACTACACAACCAGCAACCACCCCCGACCACCTTCAAGCAATTTATTCAGGAGATTCCAACCTAACAACGGCTCATCGAACGATCACAGTGGGTCACCACGGTTACAGACCTTCACCATTGGAATGGAATGTGTGTTCTTTTATCCAGCTCCTAAGTTCATCCAAATTAGATACAGCATGCCCCCAATAGGTTAGTCAACAACAAGTTCTTTGTTGAAACACTCTTGAACAAGTTGGGTTGGGGGGGGGGGTGTTTAAACAAAATGAAGATACCTTTCTGGAAGTGGCAGCTTTCGAATGGTTTTATTTATTTTGTGTTTTTTATTCTGATATGCTCTGCTATTTCTTCGAGTACTTTTGATTCTAAAAAAAAATACCCTGCCCCTGGTTTGCTTGTTCTGCTATTTAAAAAAAAAAAAAAAAACATGAATTGTGAACCGTGAATGCTATCAGAAAACTTTACCACTAACTTTATTCATGAAGGAACTTAGCATGCACACAATCAGATATCAGAAATGTTTACAAGCTCTTGATATATTACTTCATATGTGGACAAACTGTGCCTAGAAAGAAAGAAAGAAAGA